TTTGAGAATTCTCTAATACCTAAAAAAAATAGCGCTAAAGTTTTAACACAACGTTTAAATTACTGGTAGTACTAGTTTTTTCTTCTATAACTCGCATAAAACTATCCATTCGGAAAACTATGACATGACAATCGTATTAGTACAAACTAATAGACTACTGTGTACTCCTGTCGCACTAGTTATATCTATTAACTAACATATGATGTTGGCTTGTTTCGCGAAATATATTTTTAAACAAGCTAATTTTATTAATTAATTACTATGCTGTTATTATCTAGTACTCCTAGTAGATTAGTTACGAACTTACGATGAAACTGATTTCAAATTGTAATACGGTAGTAGTGTTATTAATTTACGAATTTTTTTGTTAGCAAAAAGCTGTTACCATTAGTTTAAACCTTTTTTTTTTAATTGGTCGAAAGTTTAAACCTTTTAAGCTAGTAATTTGTTAAAAGACCATCTGTACGTCGGTGGCTGTATATTTTGTCAACACATTTTTTTAGTACTTTAATTTAAAAAAAAAAATTAGGGATGAGGACTGAGTCCATGACAAGGTACGTGTCAATGCACACGTCCAAGTTTCTCGTGTACAATGTCATGGACTCCTCCAGACGGACGGTGACATTTTTAAATACACATACTATTTCTCTTGAATTTTTATTGGTCTCTTTCTAAATAATTTTATTTTTGACCTGTCTTGTCGTACTTTCGATTTCTGACGACACGTATGATTTTTTCAGTCACGTTTTAGTATACATTCATAATTAATCGTACAGCCAAGATAAACACTTTTTTTTGATAAAGGATTTTCAGCCAAGATAAACACTTAGCAAACATATCTTAATTATACGCAACAACAAAATGATATTGTGCTCCATATATTTTAGTGTTATATCAACATTTATTTAATGTCACATCAATACTATTAGCTGTAAACTGGCTAATGAAAACGTCCATTAAATATTTGAGCTCGATATGGTCAATTAATTAGCTTCATATATTATTATTATATGATCGGGATATCTTCAGCAAACGTATTAGTCTAATAACGGTGCATCGCTGTCCACACGGTTGGGTTCGTGCTTGCGTGGCATTTGCTGGCAAGTGGCAGTGAAGTTTCTTGTTTGGTATTGTTTGTTTGATTCATGTCTTTCCCAAGATGCATGTTTCTTCTATTATACTACTATTTTTATTTTTTTCTTTTCCTTTGTCCTTAATATTTAAAGTTATAGAAGAATTATTGCGATATGATTCGTCGTTTTAGCGAAAAAGAAAATAAAGATAGAGAAAAAGATAAGATTCTTTGTTTGAACTTTGAAGTACAGTTGAGCGACTGCTCGAGGAAGATTATTCGAGGAGTAGTACTTATTACGTTTACTCGGTAACTCTTTTTCTAAGAATGTATTGTAAGTAAAAATAAGATGTATGTCTGATACTCTGATTATATATATGTTTCAAATTTCGATATTGTTTTTAATCAGAGTATTTTTAAAAAATGATAGAACCATGTCAAACTTCCACACTAATGTAAGTGGTAATCATCATTGCTTAAACCAATAATTAAAATAAAATTTTGGAATTCGTCGTCGACAATGAAATTTGCTTATGATGAAGGTTTTGTGCATAATTATGAATAGATCCATTTATTTCACTCTAACTATGAAGAGATGTTTGATGGGATACAAGTGAACACGACACAAAGTAACAAAAAACCATTTAAGGTCTCAAAAGATTCTAAAACAGATTTCAAAAATATCAGAAAAGGGCAATTAAAAATGTAATCTCATTATGTCTTTGAAATCTAAATTAAAAGTCGAGTTTATGTTGATAATGATTTTCCTTTTTGTTGACGTAGAGGATGACAACCCATTTGATTAGAAAGATTAACACAAAACAACGTAACTATGTTCAGACATATATTGCTCAAATTCCACCCGTTTATCTCTCGAAACCTCCATAGTTTATATGAGGAAAAATGAAGCTAATTATACATATCGCTATCAGTTTTTTTCTTCTTCTGAAAATAGTTTTTCTTTCCTAATGTTAAAACAATTAATTAGAAAGATAAGTGGACATTGACGCGAGACAAAGACATAATCTTTTAGGGCCTTGAATAATTAGGGACAGCATAAACACATGCACTAGTCATGTCTTTATATTTAATTATGTAAAAGATTATATCTAATCTTTTACTCTAACGACGTCAATTTGATTAGCCAAGTGGTCATAAGCATACAATTGATTACTCCGAATTAAATGGCTTAATGATTTTCTTCATCCATCTTAATGAATGTTCTAGGGGATTTATCATAACTTTATCAATAGTCAAAGTAATAATTAGAAGAGAATTCAAATAAATGCAACTTTCTGTCTATTAGAGAGATTATCGCAGCTAAGTTGACTTCAAATGGAAGCAAATGAGAGAAAAATCAAAATGATATTTTGAAGCTTTTATCAGGATTTAATCTTAGGAGTAAAATGATTAGGTTAGTGTGTTTTTCTGTGAGATACTGTAATTTGTATCTATGATTTAATGCAGCGAGTTGGTCAAATGTTAGTTCAAAAAAGAAAGAAAAAAATGACGGTCGACGGAAAAAATGAGAAAGTTTAAGTTGAAACCTTAACAAAACCGACAAAAAAAACCTTAACAAAACAAATGATCTCGTGACACGTGTTTGTTCACTTATAACTTCAAAAGTTCGTGAAGATTAAAGGCTAATAATCATGTCCTACATAATAAGTATTTTAATCATTTTAGTAACACTCGACCTAGCTATAAGTATTACTCCAACTCTTCTTTGAAACTAAGCGTAATCAATACGAGAAAGGAGGATCTTATTAAAAACAAAAGCCTATTGGACCTATATTGATCACACTACAAACTTGGGCCAAGTTAAAAAATCAACAACAAACACTCGTAACACATTTTTCTTAGAACAAGAACGTTTTAAGAGCCGATATTTTCCTCTATTGGGTTTTGATTCCGTAGTCGGAAGGTGAGTTAGTGGAAGCTGTTGATCGTGATTTGAGGAAAATGCTGATAAAGCCTGTTGTGATTTGAGCAATAAAACGAAAGAGAAAAGAGAGATTGAAGCAATATACCCTAGATCCGATTCTAGCCACAACGGATTTAACATGGATTCGTTTGGTTTCTAGGACCACACTAGATCTGATTGGACACAATGATAGTTGGGATCGTAAGGGACCTAAACACTTGACTTGTCAAAAAATAAAAATATAAAATATAAAAATTTAGCTCAGTTCAAAATCCCAAACAATGGCGGATCCAGAAAATTATTTAGTCTATGACACATTTAAAAAAAAAAAATCAACTAATAACAAATTATTGAAAAATAGTAGTATACTAAAAAAAGAGTTAACGACCAAATAAAGGGTCCCAATAAATAGAAAATAAAATAAAAGAAATATTAAGTGGTAAAAACATAACTAAATTTTCTTATATAATATTTTACTAAAATTTAGCATTATAGTTAGAACTTTAGATCTAATTTAGCAAAAGATAAACAAATATTTATCGTTACTTTAGATTTAATTTAGCCAAAAATGAGCAAATATTTCTTATGTTTAAATTTTTTTTTTTCTGATATGTATGTAGAATATGATTCCATATGTATATATATATATATATTACAATGTCTGGAGAATATCTATTACACAAAAAATATGTTGGTAATTTGATAATATAAAAGCATGAGTATAAACAGAGTTGTACATTATATTCAAAACATAAGAACCATAAGCCATAGTAATGGAGAAGAGAGTTTACAAGTTTTAATCTTTAGACAAATCACATACACAATTATGAATGTACTTGATCGACATAAGTTTTAATGAGGCTGGTTTTTATTTTAATTAAAAATACATTACAAACTTTTTTGAAAATTACACAAAACAATTGACTGCAAAAACGTTTAACATGGATAGTCGATGAATAAAGTTAACTAGGATTGTGTGTTGGATACATTTTATCCTTCGATAGGAAAAGGCGCGTACTCCATGGTGGCCATTCTCCTGGGGACCAAGCCATGGCGTAAGATACTAGATGTTTTTGCACTTTTGGCTGGAATGGTTGCTATTAATGCCCCCCTATTCTACTTATTTGGGCTGATATATGGTTCGGTCTCGTCCATCTTCTTCGTATTGTCTTTCTACATCCGTCATATGGGCTGACTAGTATTCAACCCCGTAACTTGGCTTTTTTTTTTTACATTTAAGTTCATATTATAAAAAGGTCTGATAACAAGTAAAATGTCTTGTAGTAAACTATTATAATAAATTGTTCTTAGACAATATATAAATATATCATTCAAAATCCCAAACACCAAATATGCAAAACAATACTCGTATGTTGATGGAAATAGACGACCATTATACTTTTTACCTCATTTGTCTAGCAGAGAGAGAAGCAAATACTCCACTCGCGCTTTTACCAGAAAAAAACAAACAAAATGATCTCGTGACACGTGTTTGTTTATTTGTAAGTTGTTACTTCGCTCAAAAGTTCGTGAAGATTAAATGTAAGGATCATGTTCATATCTTACATAATAAGTATTTTAGTCATTTTTTGACACTCGACCTAGCTAAGTATAATTACAACTCCTGGAAACTGAAGTAGACCATATAGATTGCGGTTTATCGGAAAAGGCGCGTACATAGGCTGAGCCATTTAGGCCTAAACAAAACAAAAAGCTAACTGGGCCTATATTGATCTCACTAAAAACTTGGGCCAAGCTAAGCCCAACTCTAAAAGTAAAGTCTAAAATAGGAAAACGACACCGTTTGCTCATTTGCGTTTAGGGTTTGTCACTCCTGACAGTTGCTGAATCAGTGAAGGGTGCCAGAAACAACGATTTCTGATTTCTGAGGTAACGATTTCATAATTTCAAAGTGTAGAAACAGTTTCTGATTTGGATTACTATAGTTTTAGTTTGTGTGTTTAACTGATGAATCTCAGTTTGCAAATTCGCAATTCACAGGCGATGAAGATGAAGATGAAGTTCTGCAATCTTCCAAGTGAGATAGAAGAGGAGATACTCTCTAGGGTTCCGATCAAATCGCTGAGACAGTTACGAGCCACTAGCAAAGGATGGTACCATCACCCTTGTTCAAAGATCCGAGATTCATCAAAAGGTACTCCGATACAACTCCGAGGAAGTATCATAAGGAAATCGTGTTGAATGAGTTTAGGATTCAGTCTCTGAGCTCCTATGTCGATCGTCGCCGCGTAAACCCTTCTAGGTTTCTTCTCATCGATCCCGTCAGTAATGAAAAGGTCGAATAGCTCACGCTTTTCACTGCGATGGCATTTGTTATGCACCAACACCGAGGACAAGCGGTTTGTGGCTTGGAAGCCTTTCTCGGGGCAAACCAGATGGATCCAGCCGAGGGAGAATGGCGTCATGAGCAGCTACAGAAGCTACGCTCTTGGTTACGATAACAAGGAGTTGTGCCGTAGCTACAAGATCTTGAGGTCTCTTGAGGATCAAACGGTGGAGATTTACGAGTTTAAGTCTGACTCATGGAGGAATCTTGATGACGTCTCTCCCGGTGGAAGCTTTGAGTCTCTCGGCGTGTCTTTGAAAGGGAATGCTTACTGGATCTCGAGAAGAGGAGGAGCTAAAGAGTACTCGCTGCTGAGTTTGACTTTCTCAACTGAGAGGTTTCAGCATCACTACCTTCCCTTCCACGAAGCAGACTGTTTGGGTCCTTATGTTCTCAAAGAAGGTTTGAACAATCTGGCTCTCTCGGTTGTGAAGGAAGACCGTCTCTGTTTGTTCTATGAGAGTGCAACGAAATCAAAGACGGAGATTTGGATGAGTAGTGAGATTGGTGAGACCTGCGTCTGTGTCTTGGTTCAAGTACTTAGCAGAGGATGCGACACCGTTTTTCACGAGGCACGTCAGTTTCTACGTCGACGATGAGGAAAACTTGCGTACTGCTTTTACAACCACGAACAACATTTACGAGGTCTTAAGCTAAGAGTTAAGCTAAGGATTTTGGGAGATGTTCCACCGAAAAACGCAAGTCCTAGCAAACACAAGGTATTCAAGTATTTAGGTTGGCACTCTAGCACAGCATGTGGTCCTATTGTGTTTAGTTACATTCCATGGTTGGACTCTGAGGAATAATATTCAGCAATGTTTGTAATGTCTTGCGTAGCTTGAGTCATGTCTGTTTAGAATATGCTTTTTATTTGGTAATGGAACTGAGTCTTGTAGATTCCTTCCATGTAATGCGAAACTTTGTGGTTTGGTAATGGAACGTCCAAATTCTCTAACCAGAAAATCAGGTCATAAGTAAATTTTACCCAATCAAAAGTCTTTGTATACTAGTCTTGCTAATCAGTAACTCCACAGTTAAGACATTGCAATCTTTGTATTAATTAACTAACTAAGCTGTATTTATAAAAAAAAAGAAGCTTGACGATCAAGGTAAATAGTTTTTCATTCAACAAAGGTCTCTCAAGAACAAAGAAACACACACATAAACAATATAGAGAGACACAACAGAAACAAAAGACAGAGTAATGACACTAGAGTTGTGACAGCAGAAACAGAACCACTTTTTACTTTTTATTGTGCTTGAGAAAGATATCTCACTGAAGGACCTTGAGGGAAGCTGGCCTGCTGGTGATATCAGTCACCCACGCGTTGAGATGTGGACGCTCGGAGAAGAGCTTCTTGGAGGGAGTTTGGAGCAAGTATTGAATCACTGGAATGTGGTGAAGATCTGTCAACGTAAAAGTGTCACCGGCACAGTACTTGAAGGCGCCGAGCCTACCCTCGTAGATGTCAAGAACCTTGGCTAACTTAGCCTCTTCTTCCGCAACAACGGCTTCGTCTGTGGTCAAGCCATACATGAGCTTGAATACATTGTTCCCAAGCAAGCTTTGAAGCCGGTGGGTCGAACTGGTGAGCTTCTACTTCCATTCCATTGGCCATGATTGCATAGTCTACAGTGTTCTTGGGGTCAGCTGGGAGAAGGTTGGTTCCTTCTTCTGCGTATCGGTGAGCTATGTACTGAGTAATCGCTCTTGATTCTGCACAAAACAACCAAATTCATGTTAGTGGTTGTGCCTTGTTTTATATTATTCAGATGAGATGATGCATGAAAACGTTCATACCAAACATCTTGAGGTCTCCGTCTTCAAAGGCTGGAACTTTACCAAAAGGCTGAAGGAAGCATCAAATTAAACACAAAAACATTCAAGATTCACACTTTATTCATCAAAAGTGGTCATAGACTGATAGTGATAGATATACTTACGTTGCGTGAGAGGAAAGGCTCCTTCTTGTGCTCACCGTCTAAGATGTCGACATGAACAAGCTCAAAGTCTAGGTTTTTCTCGTAGAGGGCGAGGAGGACTTTCCTGGTGGATGTGGAAGCTGCGTGTCCGAAAACTTTGATGCCTGCCATTGGATTTGGTTGCTAAGAGATGTTGTTTAGAGATGTAATGTGTTTGATGTTGAAGATGAAGGTGATGAAATAAGACACAAGTAGTGATGGTATTTATAGAGGAAAAACAGAGCATTCTCTGCATTCTCGTTAATGTTTACTTTCTATTTCTATTAAGACAGATAAATAATGAATCTACAAGACCGTCGCAACCAATATTGACAGTCTACTTTGGAGGATTTTTTCAAAGTGGAACTTAGATTGATTAACGTTTGAATGTATTTGTTTTCTCACGAGAGATCTATAAACTATGGTATTGAACATGATTTTCAAATCAGTTGAACATGATAATGATATAATGAATTTTATATGTATGTTACTAAATTTAATATATATGTTGTTCAATATAATGTATCAATATCGGACACATCTTGAAATTGTTGGATTATATCAATGAAGAGAGCTTGATGATGAGAGTGATATACATAATAGAAAATTGTGATTTGTGGAGTGTTTACAAATGGACGGCTGTGATCAGTTGTGGAAGGGTTTCGATTATGTTGCGTTAACTAAACGGGCCTAAACAGTTAAACGGGTAGCCCATTTACACCCGATTTTCTTTTTTTTCAGTCCACACACACTTACGGTGAGAGTAAATGCAGCTGAACACTTCTCTTTCTTCTTCGTCGTCGTCTTCTTCTTCTGATTTCTGAAGATAGCCTAATCTGGAAAAAAAAAAGTAAGAGCTGACAAAATTGTGGATTCTCTCTGTCGCTCGTGACCATTTCCATGGAGATATCTCTTCTCAGTCCGACGACGCAGTTTCTTCTGCCGTCATTTTCGAAGCCGAATCGCCGAGTTCATTTCTATAAGCCTCTTAAACTCCGTTGTTCGGTAGCCGGTGGTCCCGCCGTCGGATCTTCCAAAATTGACGGCGGAGGAACCACCGTCACGGCGGATTGTGTGATTGTCGGCGGAGGTATTAGCGGTCTCTGCATTGCGCAGGCGCTCGCCACGAAGCACCCTGATGCTGCGCCGAATTTGATTGTGACCGAGGCTAAGGATCGTGTTGGAGGCAACATCATCACTCGTGAAGAGAATGGTTATCTCTGGGAAGAAGGTCCCAATAGTTTTCAGCCGTCGGATCCTATGCTCACCATGGTGGTAAGTTCTCGAATCCGTCCCTCTTTGAAGATTTGTGATCAGTGTCTTTGATTAGTGAATTAAAAGCCTTCTCTGTTTATGGTAAGTTTAGGTTGATAGTGGACTTAAGGATGATTTGGTGTTAGGAGATCCAACTGCGCCAAGGTTTGTGTTGTGGAATGGGAAATTGAGGCCGGTTCCGTCAAAGCCAGCAGACTTACCGTTCTTTGATTTGATGAGCATTGGAGGGAAGATCAGGGCTGGTCTTGGTGCTCTTGGCCTTCGTCCACCACCTCCAGTTTGTACTCTGATCACAAAGCTGTTAGGTTTATGTTGGTAGGATTTGCTCATGTGCTTAGAGTTTGACAAAGGTGACAGGGTCGTGAAGAGTCCGTGGAGGAGTTTGTGCGGCGTAACCTCGGTGATGAGGTTTTTGAGCGCCTGATTGAACCATTTTGTTCAGGTAGAAAGACAATTTGAAGTTCAATACTTCACCACTTGATACTTTGTTCTTTTAGGCGCACCATTGATGCTTTGGATTCAATGGTTTCAGGTGTTTATGCGGGTGATCCTGCAAAGCTGAGTATGAAGGCAGCATTTGGGAAGGTGTGGAAACTAGAGCAGAACGGTGGAAGCATCATTGGTGGTACTTTTAAGGCAATTCAGGAGAGGAAAAAAGCTCCCAAAACAGAACGAGACCCGTGAGTACCATAACCTTTTCAGCTTCTTGGGGTCTCTTGTTCTCTTGATATATATATATATGTATTTGTAAAACAAACTCAATCTACTACTTCAGGCGCCTGCCAAAACCAAAGGGACAAACAGTTGGTTCTTTCAGGAAGGGACTTACAATGTTGCCAGAAGCAATATCTGCAAGGTATCCAATACTTGTCTCTCTCTACTGGAAGGCAAAAACTTTTCAAGTGTTTCCTGAAATCTTCTTCTATTTGACAGGTTGGGTAGCAAAGTTAAGCTGTCATGGAAGCTCTCAGGCATTAGTAAGCTGGAGAGTGGAGGATACAACTTAACGTATGAGACTCCAGAAGGTGTAGTTTCTGTGCATAGCAAAACCGTTGTAATGACTGTCCCATCTCATGTTGCAAGCAGTCTCTTACGCCCTCTTTCTGTAAGTTTCTCGTTTTCTATGAACTAGGAAATTAACTAGAAATGTGGTACTTATATCGTGTGTGGCAACTGTTATTTTCTCAGGAATCTGCAGCAAACGCACTCTCAAAACTTTACTATCCACCAGTTGCAGCAGTCTCAATCTCGTACCCGAAAGAAGCAATCCGAACAGAGTGTTTGATAGATGGTGAACTAAAGGGTTTTGGGCAATTGCATCCACGCACGCAAGGTGTTGAAACTCTAGGTAAAAAAAAATATCTTGTAATCTTTAATCTCTTACCATGTCAAAATGTTCAAATAAGCTTCATGAATCTTGTTCTCGGATCTCTTCAGGAACTATATACAGCTCCTCGCTCTTTCCAAATCGAGCCCCGCCCGGAAGAATCTTGCTGTTGAACTACATCGGCGGGTCTACCAACACCGGGATTCTCTCAAAGGTAACAAACCAACAACACATACTTGTAACAGAATTTTCTTAGAACAAGAACGTTTTGAGAACCGATCGTTTTCCTTGATTCTGCAGTCGGAAGGTGAGTTAGTGGAAGCTGTTGATCGTGATTTGAGGAAAATGCTGATAAAGCCGAATTCGAGCGACCCGCTTAAGCTAGGAGTGAGGGTATGGCCTCAAGCCATTCCTCAGTTTCTAGTTGGTCATTTCGATATTCTCGACACGGCTAAATCATCTCTAACGTCTTCGGGCCACGAAGGACTCATTTTGGGTGGGAACTACGTCGCTGGTGTAGCCTTAGGCCGTTGTGTAGAAGGCGCATATGAAACCGCAAACGAAGTTAGTAACATCTTGTCACGGTACGCTTACAAATAAAATGTAAAACATTAAAAAATATCTCTCAGTTTGAGAGTTTTCATTATATGTTTATTAAAACCTTCAATTTGATTGATACATGTATGTGTTTTAGACTTTTAGTTGATTACATAGTTGTTTTTAGGCGAAAGGTCTTTGGTTCTCGCAGTCTAAATAAGGTCCTGTGTTGACGTTAAACAACTGTGCGTATCTTTGGAAATACCCGACCCGGTCACTGACCCGTCCATCTCCGGGTATCCCGCACTCTAACCCGCCGTTTATGATGTTGGTGGTTAAACCGAATCCGACGGTCCGGTTCGCTGCTAAATCTGCTTTTGTTGGTCTGTATCGGTTGACCATGACGTCATGGCAAGATGGTTTGGGAAGTTGTTCGGTCATCCAAAACCAAAGAGCTGTCTTGAAAGCTAAAACGGAGTTGTTGGCAACACTTTCTGGGTTACCCAAACCGTCGAAGCCCAGTGCCCGACCCGCCTGTCCGTAATTGTAATTCCTATTTTTATCCAAAACGAAAAAAGGGTAAAATTAAACCAAAAGCTAAGAATTTATGGATAACAAAATTGTAAAACAGAGTATAATGACAAGTATTTAAAACAAAAAAAAATTGGTAATTTGCAATATGTTGGAACTGTAAAATGTGTTTTTATCATATTCATCCGTATTGATCAATCACATTTTTTCTCCCTTAGATTAAAAGTTAAATTTTATTACATATTTGACAAGATTAATACTGAACGTAAAAGATATTTGTAATTTTATATTTCGCATTTTATTATATTTTCTTACTAATTTCCGTTCTCCCATTTACATACTAAACCATTAAGACTTAAGAGCTCTAAGTTTACCTATAAAAAGTGAATGATAGCTTTTATGTAATTTTGAATATCTATAGAATGATAAAATATAAATTGCGATTAGTTAAAAAATATACGAGTTTGCGGAATCATTTCATTGCTTAATACGTTACCTACCAAACTATAGTATTCAAGATTTAAATTATGTCACAAAATCATATAATTCGTGAGAATCATCCATTACGCAGTCAACAATCATATTGAAATGATACAGTATATACGACCGGTTAGTCGATAAAATAAGTATATGGAAATGGTTATATATTGGTTAGTAATTACTATTCTAGAGTAAAGACGTACCAAGAAAGTTGAATGGGACCTCTTCCTTTATAAGACTTGCCAGGGACACAAGGCCAATCGGTGTTAGTAGCATCACAATAAATACTCCCTGGACTCACTTCTTCTTTAAAACACAGCCCCCACGCGTACGGTCCGTCCGGTGCCGTGGCCCAACCACCTGTCGTCTCGTGAGATATCTGCGCCAAGAACGCAGCCACTTCACGTCGCCTTGTCGTCGGAGCTCCTACGGTCGCGAACTTCGGGAAACACCTTGTTGCCTCGACGAATGCTTCGTAGGGGTAGAAACCTTTTGCAGGGCATGCGTTGTTATCCTTGTGGATGAAGATTGAGTCGTAGAGACTTCTTGAGACTAGCCTCGTGATTGGTGCGGGCTTATTGGAGTGTTTTCGAGCTTCGGTTTCATGGAAAGAGGATGCGATTGAGAAGATGAAGAGGAAGAGGCATAGCAATAGAGGAATTTGTTTCTCCATGATTGTTCTTTCTTGTCTTGTGTGAGAAGTTGGGGTTTTGGTTTTGTTGTTATATAGAGATGTTTAGTAGTGGAAGACTTTGTTAGATGTTTTCGTTGGTCAACGTTTTGACTTTCTTAATGGAGTTGATTGTTTTTATTTATAATACATTTATTTATTTAAGGGTCTACTGTCTGTTTCAATGTTAGAAGACCCATTCTTGATAACATTTTTTTTGGTTTTGTTTATAGAGATTTGGTTTACATTAGTTTCAAATTGGATTAATTGAAACCTTTCAGTGGAGAACAAGAGCCAAATTCGAACCACAAATTGGATTCTTTGAAAATTCAATAACATAATGATTAAAAGGTACTGAATCTAAATCGAAGAATAAAATTATTGTGAACTCTTGTTTCATTTTCAATACTGTTCTTCAAGTAAACAAAAAATTGAGTCGAAATTCTTGTTGAAGTCTTCGGTTGGTTTACAAAACTATCAAAGACTGTTTCTGAAGAGAGTAAAGTACGAAAGTTCTTGTTTGGTGGCTAACTAACACGAATGCGCCGAGCAACTTGTGAAATGGGCGTTGGACCAAGTCGTGAGGACATTTTAATAAGAAAACAAAATCTAATTGTTAAATAGAAAAAATCGTACCACAGACCAACACAAAGATCAGTTTGTTTTTGTTTGGTTGTTTATATAATTTGTAATAAAAAGTTAGGTTGTTAAATTATTATTGTGTTCTTTTTTTATTATGTTTTTCGTCCGGAAGTCATTTTATTTTTTTGGTTAATTGCCAAATGCTTAACTATTGATTCGACCATGTGATTACACAAAAATAGACGTGAAGTTCCACTACATTGGTGCGATGTGAAGTGACCACCATCGCTTTAATTTATATGTCCATGATACATTATTTAAATTTATGTACAGTTTAGATATAGTTCTATCAAGTGGTCTTAGATTGAATCTCGTTATTGAAAGTTGAGAGGCTATACCCAATCGCATAATTCAATTAATTTACGGAAAAAACAAACAATAAGTCAATAACCATGTTAGGAGAAAGAAAATAGTAATCAAATAGGGGAGATTGTACAAAATCTCTAACCATGTGTGCTTACATCGTTGACCAAAACAAATCATGTGAGTTTATCATAATTTTCATTTTTATCATTGATTTTGTTATTATTTACTTAAAATATTGATAATAAATCTTTAAATGTATAAAATGCCATTTTGTTAACCAAGTATTATAGGGTGTATAACTTGGGCCTAACATATGGCCTGTTATTGTATCGGCCCACTAAACATATATTACTTTCTACATGCATTTACCGAGTAGCCAAATTTTTGTTGCTTTTTCCATACGTCGTCGTGAAAGCAACTGCACTCGTACTGGAGGTAAGTACGATTTTCACAATGACCTTTTTGTTTTTATCATCAAAATCTAACTTTTAAGATCCGGAAATTTTTGAGTTTACTTAGAATTTAAGACGTTTACGAATGATTCAACGACGGAGTAAGATAATCCCATCTTTAAGGAGATTTGCTAACAAGACAAATCCTCATAAAAAAAGAACCATTACTCCATTATCATTTGGTTTAGTTTTCATATTTTCTCTAAGAATTTAACTTCAATGAGGATTATTTGTCTAATTTTCCCATTGTTGGTCATTGATTTAGACATACCTTAGATACTAATCAGATTTGTAGTAGTAATCGAGGATGAGTTCAAATGTCAAACACCGGTTAATAAAACCATGCAACTTTGAAAAGAAAAAAAGGTTCACTTTTACCTTTGCCATCTTTTTGACAAATGAGCATTTTGTTTACGAAACCAAATGAATACTCGAGTGGTGGATCGGATCTGGTAACCAAAGGGATCTCCGAAAAAGAGTTGCTTTCACATACCTAGAATTAAAGATAGAGACCATAACTTGTTTTATTTTGTACACAAAATAAGAATTTGTTTTATTTTATATTTTCCCAAATACTAAAGCTTCCAAATAGCTGGATAGTGTACTTCAACAATAACGAAAAAACTATTCTACAGCTCATACACTTACACCTACGTGATACGTCGAATTATTTATTTTTGAGTGATGACCATATCTGATCACAAACTTATTAAGTCTTTGATAACAGTTTATTAATCCGCGCAATTCCTCCTAACCCTAATCAGCTACATATTCATTATTTTAATATTTATTTATTGGGTAAGTAAAGTGATCCATTAGTCAGTAATTGTTAATGCTTTCGTTGTCGTTCACCAAACCCTAATTATCATGGATTTGAAAAGTATTAAACTTGGACGTAGGATATATATATATATATATAGTTTTTAAACCCCAAAAAACATATATAGGGTCGAGATAAATTTCTACCTCTTATTCTTTTATGATCTTGCCATTTGGTATACTGTAGCTGAAAAGTATTAAACTTGGACGTAGAAATCAACGTCAGCCTCAGCAAAAGAAACGTGAGCTATATAAACATTTAATGAAAACGAAAAATCCATCTACAAACTGGCAACAAAATGACGGTTCAAAATCTTTGTTAATGTGAAGCACAGCTTTTTGGTATGATCTTTATCATTTAGATTAAGACTTGTTGGTTCTCTTAGAACAACTCCAATTCTTTTTTGATAAAATACAGAGAGCATGCTGCGGAAATGGCACATGTGCATTTATGAACTAAATAAATAATTAAGCAGCTTGTAAAAGTAACATAAAGCTTGGAAGGTATACATCTACGTTTGATTTTCCTTTCTTTATTTACTCGGAACAGTTTATCTAGAAAACTATAAAATTATCATGACGTTCCATCATCTAATATATTATTTGCGAAGTGATTATTTCGTTTCGAGGCACCACGTTAACTCTCAGCTGGTTGATTACCCAGCTACCCTTAATGAAAATCTTTTTTAAAAATCTTCGTTATTTCCTTTTTTTTTTTAATGTCACGATTTATATTTCTAATTAAAATATTTAACGATAATAATAATCCTAATTACCATATTGCACGCCACAATTATGTAAAAATTAAAAAATTGGAAAAAAAAGGAAAACCTAGATTTCTTAACCGACTATGTCTTATATAAATAGATAGCAATAATGAAAATCAAAACAATCCACGATTCTTCAACCTAGAGGTGAGATAATTTCTTCGAGTCCATATCTCATCTTTTCTCATGTAAGTTATTTGTTTTTAATTTGATCTTACTGTTATTAGCTATTATGATGATTAACTGATTATTCATTATTTGCTGTAAATTTTATTGAAGGGTTCCAATCTTACAGTATATTAAGGTTTGCTAGCTAATGGAAACAAGAAGCTCAAATATGGTACCAACTAAAAACAGTTCTAGCCAAGAAATAGTGGGTATGTACATCTTTACTTTTTTTTTAAAAACTTGGATCTCATGAAACCCTAATTCGACTAAGCGGCTCTTAAAGGATTTTCAATATTCGTTTAAGATCCATCATATTAGCGTTATATTTGTAGAGAGAGACGACATATGTTATGGTGCAGAGAGAGAGAGAGCCTTTCAAAGTCAGAAAACGAGAAGAGCAGTTCTTGATGAAAGAGCTTCCAATTCTATGTAATCCTCACTGGAAACTTGAATTTATCTCTTTTTTTGATAAATTGTTTCACGGATTTTGTAACTTAGGTCACATTCAAGGGGCTTCCGTTGTCTTGAGTTGCAAGCTTTGAGGTTTTATGTGAGAATATTGTTGATTTGATTCCCGTCAAAGTCTGGGATATCTTTATGAAGATGTTAGCTCCTCAATTTCATACAATGAGGCCATCCATGGTTAAAGGATTGAAATGATGCAAAGGTTTAGTTGGATATTATGGTTTTCAAGCTTGAGAGCTTATTTACAATCATTGTCTATTCACAAAGTTGCTTAATGGTGAGTGGATCAGTTTTAGTATTTCTACTTAATCGGGCGTTTCCTTTTTTGCTTACCGTAGACAAACTGTATTATCTGAGGGAGCTGTTTGCTTTACCAGAACCTAGGAAGACCGTAGAATATCAAATCGGTGAGTTTTCTATCTTCCATCGTGTTAAAAACTTAAGTTTTAGTTTCTTAGTTTCTGGTTTTTTTGGTTATTAGCAAAAAGAAAATTTAGTTTCTTGTGGGCTTTGGTTGATAATCATGACATTGTTGTTGAAATTATGATTACAAAACAGAGTAAGAGAAGAATAGAGACAAAACAGAGCAAGAGACAAGAGTTTGTCTCTTCTCTTATGAAGAAGAAGAATGTAACGAAATAGAACTCTCTTTATTGATCTGAAACTTGATAACAGTTACATCACGTGTTACATCATGGTTATATACTAAGACAAAACACATCGAAGAGTTGTGTCTCTTCCTCTTGTGTGTGAACCAATCTAACCAAGAGTTGCAACTTTACTAACACCGTTTGATACACACATATGCTAACTTAGGACTAAACTCAATTAATTCCAACAATTGTTTGGAACTTTCTTTGTTAGGCTTTGAAGAAAATGGCATCAGACGCAATGAATGATTGGCATATACCTGAATTCTTAGCACAAGTAAGAACCTTAAATTTCACAAACTAATGTTTGAAACACAGGATTTGACTTTTTCTTTTCTGGATTATCTATATAGCTAAGTGCTCTTCAATATAGAAAAATAGATTTTGAAGAATTTTGTGCAGCAGGTACTGAGTGTTCATCAGCCAGAATCTCTTGATCGATGGGAAGTAGCTCACTGGTCAGTCTCATTGATCAGTTACAAACAACTTCTTTATCTGTAACGGTAATTATATTGTAAAGTTATTTTTTTCCTTGGGAAGCTAGCCAAGATTTGTTGTTCGATGAGGCATTAGCTAAATGTCCTTTATGTGATTTTTTATTTATTTATTTACAACAAGGATTCAAGGGTTACTATATATGTGGAGCTGGGATTACTGAGTGGTACATATGCGTTTTATCACCAACCATATTCCATCATAAACTCTATTTGATGTAAGCTTCCAGATTAACAAAT